TATGAGAGGGTGGCACAGAGTGGCAACCAAAGAGAAGCCCCTAAACACACTGCTCTAAAGAGCCATGAGCGTCAATCATCCTTGCTGTTCCAACTTGTACAGAGCTCTACGATTGGTGCTAAGATGTCAAAAACCAGTAATATCATTAATTTGCTTGAGAACTGGTATTGAACTAACACTGAATTTTTCTTGCTAGCTTTAAGATTGGGGGTATTTCCTTGCCTTTGGAACACGTGCAGTACTACCCATTGAGGGACTCGGGGCTTGGTGGAAATATATTAACTTCCTCTGCTTGACTTGCAGTTTAGCCTTGCAATGCTTCTATGCAGGGGTAAGCATAGACAGAGGATTCGACCAGCTGCCCCATTAATACAAGTGGTAAATCAGAACTGGGAACCTGAGGGGTTCTTCCTAAGGCGTTAGTTCTAGGCACGTAACAACTGTGCAGTGTAAAATGTACCACTTCTACTCTCTCATGCTACGTATCCTAATGAAGCCTGTTACACAGGCTGGGATCAGGGACCACATCTGAGGCATGGTACAGCTCAGACTGAAACACAAGCTGACTACACCTTAGCTAGTTGCTGTGTGTCAGCTGAGCCACAATGCTGGACTGTGTGCAGGCTGTTAACTGTAACCTCTGTGAGAGAGATTTGATTTATGAGATGCAATATCCGCCAGGGTTTCTACCAGCAATTTATACAACAAACACAGAAAAGAAACAAATGGGAAGTTTCCTAAACTTATGAAATCATGAAGCATTATAAGATGGGAAGTGCATTAATAAGGCAGAATTGTAACACCAAACAACTGGCTGGGGGATTTATTAAAAAAACATGATCACTGAAACCTTGAATGAAACAAGATAGAAACAATATCCCTAATCTTTTTATTTCTGTTTGAAAAAGCTGATACTTCAGTATCTTGTGGGATCACCATCACATATTATTGTGTGGAAATCAACGCAGGCATATGCAGGGCTGAGTATAAATATTATTTTATTACTTCACAAGGGCATCAAGCTCTAACAGACATAAATCTCTAAGTAGAAATTTTGACTCCACTGAACCTAGTGGAATTTTTGTTATTTAATTAATTGGGGTCAGGATTTTAGTCTGTATAAAGTTGCTCTTTTAGGGCATACTCCCCATGTCCATTGAGGCCAATGAAAGCTTTTCCATGGGCTGTAACTGAACTTTCATTAGGGAAGCAGTTTCCTTACAAAAGACTGTCACTGCTATAGTCCCAAAGATCTTCTTCACTATCATACTTATTATGGTCACATTCCTGAAACTGCTTTTGTCTTCTTTTATCTGAGGTAGAATTAACAAGGCCTGTTTTTCAAAGTTGCTAATGGGCTACTGTGATCTGCAGCCATCAACAATCCTCTTGATTCTTCTGTATGATTTTGTGCAATGTTTTCTTCTTTGCTTGTTTTTTTTCCCTCTTTGATGTCTATGAATAACCTGGCTGAGAAGGCAGGATGTCCTGGCCTTATTTGTTCCTTTTTTTCCAATATGTTGTCAGTGAGCAGGCAGAATAGCAGTTTTATTTGTGTTTCTTTTTACTTTCAGATCTATCATTACAATTTGGAATTTTTCTTGTTTTAATTGCTTTTATAGAAGAGGAAATAATTTTTAAAGATTAAGATTTTTAGATACATTCTGCAATCCTCTGTCAAACATACTTTTGAATTTGCTGCTTTCTCAGTTTTGCTTTTGCTTTGTCACAGGGCTTTCTAACCATCACTTTGGCTTCCAGCTCTTCTGCAATACATTGCTTTTTATCCATTGTAATTTCAAGTAATCACACCTTATGTAGTACTGACAAATCTCCTCCATTATTTATTTTGAGGAACTGTAGTACTGCTGAGTTTTACATTCCACAGCCATTGTCTGTAAGTTCTTGAATTTTGGCTCTAATCTTATTTTCATTAAACAGGAAGATTTTCCTCATTCTAGCTTGATCTAAACTTGATTATCTGGGATGGACAAGTTGCTATGATGTGTTTGGGGGGTTGTGGCTTTTTTCCCCTTGGCACTTCTACGGTGTTGTCCAAATGCTAGAAAAATTGAGTGTCTCCCTGTGCAAAGATATGAGCTGCTTCAGCTTCTGCAAGAGTTAAAATAGGCAGGTATACTTCTGAGCTGTGGCTTTCTGGAATGACATGTTTGTTTACAGCATTTTGTTTTCTGCTTTTACTATCTGAAAATATCCTACTGCCATCACTTATCTAGTATTTCCAATTTAAACCTGAGGATCTTTTATCCAGAGCTTGAGTTTGAATAATATGAAAAGATACATGCAAAGTCCTGCACCTGGGATGGACTGATTCCCTGCAATGGTACAAACTGGGGACTGGCACTGGGAAACAGCTTTGATGAAAAGCTCATGGCAGTCCTGGTGGGCAGTAGGCTAAACATAAATCAGCAGTGTGCCCTAACAGTGGTGATGGAGAACAGTATACTGGACTGTACACAAAAGAGGATAGCCAGTAAGTCAAAAAAAGTCATTGCTCCCCCTCATTCAGCACTCTTCAGTGCACATCTGAGATGCTGTGTCCAGTTTTGGGCTCTCCAGTAAAGAAGGATTTTGATAAACTTGAATGAGCTCAGCAGAGGGCCACAAAGATGGTGAAAGGGCTGGAAATCTTGCCCTGTGAGGAAAGGCTAGGGGAACTATTCTTCATCAGCCTGGAGAACAGATAGCTTCAGGAGTACTTAGCAGCTCCATACCTACAAGGAGGTTCCTAAGAAGATGGAGCCAAGCTCTTTACTGAGCTGCACAGCAGGAGGATGAGAGGTAATGATCATAAATCAAAATAGGGAAATTCCAACCGGATAGAAGGAAAAAAATTCACTATGAAGAGAACTAAGCTCCTATTAAGGATAACTGGAACAGGCTGCTCAGTGAAGTTATGGAGCATCTGACCTTGGAGGTTTTCAAGGCCCAACTGGACAAAGCCCCAAACAATTTGCTTTGAACTCAGTGTTGACCCTGCCTTGAGCATGAGGTTGGACTAGATGGTCTCCTACAGTCCTTTTCAACCAGACTGATTCTATGAACATCTTGTTTCTATAATCCAAAAGAATAATTGTATATAAAATTTCTAACTCGTCTAATCTAGTTGAAAATTAGGCCTAGCATAATAGGAGTAAAAATAATTATACTGTAGCCATACGGCCAAGTATTCGCCCATTGTGTTGGATACTGATAAACACAACTCCTTGTGCTTAAAAACCTTGCAATCCAATTAGCTAAAATGAAGGTACAGTGAGAGAAGAAATAGTTACAGTGAGGTAAAGATATCTTCTAGAAGTTGATCTTGTCTCCCAGTTCTGCTAAAAGTCCTAGTCCAGTGTTCATCCACTGGCCTACTGTTGCTCACGCTGTCTGCATAGGTTAGTCTCCTGAAGATGAATGTTTCATAAAGCATATTCTGTTTCAGAGAGAAGTGGTCATTGAGAAGATTAAGGTCGTTTTCAAATGGGATGTTCATCTCTGCCAGGTGGTACGTTAAGACTGTGAGTCATAAATATATTTTATTTCCTTGGTCAGATAGCACAGTGGAAATGCAACTTGTCTTATTCGACTTCCAGTTTCAAGAGCACCAAGTAAGTTTCTGAATTTGTTCATTCATTTCTGAGCAAATGCCATATCCTCCTGGATATTAAATGCTAGAAATGTAAATGATGCAAAATGACTTTGTTTATCATGTTGGATAGTTGATTTTTTTTTTCCTGGAAATGTATCTAACCTGACCTTCTTTGGACAAATGCGCTTTACTTTCTAGAGACTTCAGGGACTATTTTTTTAAAGCATTACAGATGCTAATATCAAAGATGGCTGCCATATATTATCACAGAAGTGGTCCCTGTTCAGCTTTCCTGTTGCAGTTATCCTCCTGTCTTCCCTTGCAGATCAAGCAAGGTACTTTTGGCCTGAAGATTTGTATTGCCTTCCGTTATAGTCATATGGTCTTATAAAAGCTAATTAAAGGTGGCTGGATTTGGGCTGCTACCCTTTCATTAGTAAATGTTATCAGGGAATGGTGCTGGGATTCTCAGAATTCCATAATGTGGCATTATGAAGACACACGGGGAGCAGAGCTATTCAAATCTGGAACCTCAAATCTGAGAAGCAGCTTGCAGATTGTCTTGTAAACTGAGAAAAACACAAAAGTCGATATTAAATGCAACGTCAGTCACTAAAACTTCCAAAGAAATATCTGACTTCACTGCAAGTGCAGATAAATTGGAGATTATGGGCCTAATTCTCTTTTCATACTAGGATAAATCAGGAGCAGCATCACTGAGGACAACATATCTCAGCTAGAGAAGAATTAGGCTCTATGGCTTTCAATAATAAGAGTACGAAGAATTTAATTACAAGGAATCAAGCTGAACCTCCCTTCCCTGTTATGTGCATGCATAGATACATGCACAAGCTCTCCAGTAAGATTCGTCTCTTGTTACATTTCTGTACAACTTCCATTGTCCTCTTCCTCATAAAATACTACTTGCGTGCAAATAACAGGCACTCGGACGCTACAGGGATGGGAGCTATAGAGGTGATAATACACTGGGTGCTTAAAACACTGGCAGAGCTGTAGCTCAGTTTTGTCTAGAACAACCTGGTGAAATCCCAAATACGCTGCAGTTTCTGGCCTCCCTGTCATGACTCAGCAAAGGAAAAAGGAAGAGAGGAGCTCATTTTCTGTGCCAGGCAGAGAGTTGCTCATCTAAGCAATACCTCTTTGAAGGAGAAAAATAATGCACAGCACATATAACTGAATAGCTGCTGAAGACAACTGTAATATAAATCTATTTTTTTATTTCCACATATATGAACAATCTTATACATCTATACAAAGACTTGAAAATACAAGTTATATTTGAGCCACCCTCTATGGCATCCTACGACAAAAAAAGCAGGTGCAAGAGGAAGATCCACAATCATCTGTTGTACCAGATGATTTTGACAAAAATGGAGGTACTTACAGTCTAAGTGACTATGTCTGATGCCTTCCACATCTTCAGCATGAATGAAGTGGTAACATCTCTTTCCTACGATATCTACAGGGGTCAGATCCATGTAATCACTAATCCTAAAAAGGACAAAGAAATACAACCTATAATTTAAGATGGAAAAGAATACAGGAACTGTCAAATGACTCAAACTGAAATCTGCAAAAACCATTTTTCACTGCTGTAGTAATTTCGTGAAGACTCCACTACTTTTTTCAATGGAATGGCTGTACAAATGAGATACAGTCTCTAAAAGAAAACTGTTTTTAAGGAAACCTTGAAATCATTCAATACATTGAAACAGGTGGAAAGTTAAGCTTTAACATGTATTCCTCCCATAGAATAACACCAAGACAATGTAATTCCATGAAATTACAAAACATAGCAATAATCTAAAATCCTCATTTAAAGACCAAGATGATTCAAGGTTACATAATAAAGTAAAACAAGTTATGTTTATACCAAACGATTAGAGACACCTTTCATTTCAACAGATTGGTCTTCTATTGGGTATATTCATGAAAAAGCTCTTCAACCATTTTTTGGCACAAAGTCTTAACTGATATTTCAAGGGATATAATTTAAATGCTGAGACATACAGATGCCTCAGGGTGTTATCTTTTTTAGTCTAATTCACTTGGGAGCTCAGCTTTCACTTCGGGCCCTTTCAACTGGGACTTTGCGGTTTAGTGCACATAGAAACTTTAAAACGTATTCTGCAGATCTTGATGTGTACGTATGCGTGCTTGTGTGTCTGTGTGCATGTGCATGCATGTGTAAATTCCTGACACCGATTGCCAAGATGTCAATGTCCTTAAATACAATACAGAAAATAACAAAAAAATAAGAAAAAATGCCTTGCTTATGCAAGCATCACAAGCCTTTGAAAGTATGGCTGTTTTCTAGAAACTGAATAATTTTTAGGATTTTAAATATGCTGCAATGCACTCATTTGCAGCATAAGGGTTCGCAATCATAAGATATAATTGCCGTCTTCCATTTCAGAGGGTTGTAAGAAACACCAAACATCTTTATATCGCCAGGTAGCTGAAGCAACTGGAGCATGATCCAGAGCGTAGGCCTACGGCTAGGCTCAAGCAGAAACTGAACCGCGTGTGTTAGAGGTGTTCCCTCGAGGCAGATGTTGCAAACTCTGATACTCAGGCACTGACTGAGGGAGAACTGTGTTTGCCTGGTTGACTGAGAGCAAAAGAGCGTACAGATCAGAAAGGCTGAAGAAGGAGAAAGAAAGTATTGCACAATGCCACAGCAGCACTGATGGTTTGTCCCAATAAAAAGATAAAACACAGGACACAAACAGAGATTAGGTGCTCTCTGAATAAAGTCTCTAGAACTGAGAGACAGAACTGTTTGCTGTTGTGCAACCACCCTTCCCCCTTTTTGGTCATGAGAATTTGTGTCCGCTCTTTGGAAATATACAGGATTACATCAACGACATGGTGTACTCTACCATTAATTTCCTTTCTTAAGGAAAAAAGTTGCAGGATGCAGATAACTGCTTAGGTCAAAAAGAGTTAACACTCTTACAGCACTTCCATCCTTAAATGTTCTTTTCTCTGTAAGTAAACACCCTTGCATTTACATTTACATGGAAAAGCTTCCTAGAGCACTCAGAGTGCCCCATAATGTTCAGTGACAGTAATGAACAGACCCCCACAAAATGTCTCCAAATCACATAGCTGAAACTACAAGGAATGGAGCTTATTTTGAAATCCAAAAAGTCTTTGCTATGAAGTCTGCAGGGTCACGATAACAAGGGATGTAATAATCTCTGCCAGTTAGCCAGCATTTCTGACTGCTCGGAGCAGTCAGTTTGACTAAAAGGTTGTTCCCTGGACCTGCTGCCCTGACTGGGTTGGGCCTGAGCACCATTAAGGGAAAGGTGGTGACTGCTCCTTTTAACCAAAGTGCTGTGAGCTTTGCATTTCACCAGCCATGCTAGTGTGTCCTCTGTGCTGGCTCACTAGTTCAGATCCTCACTGAATATGTAGGGAGCCAAAGCTGGGCCGTGTCGCTCTTTTTCCCCTCGGTAGGAGAGTTTCCAGAGCATGGCATAGCTCACAGTTATGTGTGCTCCTACAGCGTGTAGTTTTTGAACAGCGTTTACATCATGAGAAACCACATTGTTCGTTTACACTTTGCCAACATTAGCTGTATATTTTTCCATTTCCATCTTTCTGGAAACAGTGGTGCCCAGCAACTCCAAAACCTGCAGGGGTGGAATGATTAGGGCCAGTGTTTGAATTTATTTTGGATAATGAGAAGTTAGGAATTTTCCTGCTCAAGAAAAATAGCATCCTATTCCCTTTCTAAGGATCACTTACCTCTGTACTGATTTTAAACCTAGCTAAGTCTCTAATAAGATTGAAGCCAAAGTCATATTGGCAAGAATTTGTTATTTTCCTTAGAATTGTCATGACATCTTTGAATGATGTAAAAAATGACCAAAAGAAGTATCCCTGTGGCCTAAGGATTTAGTAAATCAGTGAAATAGCTGAGTAATTTCTGCTATAATATGTTAGCTGGGTTTAGAAGTACAGTTCTAACATGATGACAGATCCATTTACCACAATAAAAGAACTCTACAAAATATGAAATTCTCATTATAAACGTAACAGAATTCCTGACATTTACTGATTAACTTTTATACCTCTATGTTTGGAAAGAGATGTTTGGGCCCAGATCCACAGAAATACTTAGACATGTAAAGTAGATTTCAGAGCTCAAGTCCAGAAATGTAGTCTGCAAAATGCACACTTTCTCCCCAGAAAGCGTGCAAAGCTTCAGGGTTCCAACACATGACCAAATTAAGCCATTTTCATTAATCTCCATGCGCCAGCTGAGCCATGTTACCTTTCAATATCAGGCTGCGAGCAGATGTCACATCACTTGCCTTGCATTCACCATAGGTAAAAAGCATGCATGTGTATAGTTACCATAGTTCATTTGACACACAATCTTCATGTGATTCAGGTTCTGCTTGCAAAGTCTTGAAAGGTCTCTTTCTACATACACACAGAATTGCCATCTTCTTTTTCAGGGATTAGTATCTAGGGAAGTTTAAGTTGGCAGGGAGCTTTGCTTCCCTTCACCAATCTCCCCATGAAGTAGGCAGACTCAGACTTACTAGTAAGAATTGCCAGATCAAGTTTAGCACAAGACAGAACAGCCTTGCCACACTTTCATTACGGTGCACGTTGAAAGATATGTACCTTTCGAACAATTGCCTAGCTGAAGTACTTAACCAGAAACCCATGTCTAATCCATACCCCAAACGGCAGCTGAAATGCATATCTCCTATCTTTTTGGAGAGGACGCTATCCATCAGGATAAAGACAAGTCTGTAATGATGGTAGCGGGGCGCTCTCTATCCCTCCTGCAGACTTACTTCACTTTGCGTGCACAGTGGATTACGTGCTGAGAAACAAAGAAACTAGGGGCTCTGCCCAATGACAAGAAACCTGCCCGGAGAGAAGGGAGTCTGAGATTGTATGGTTCCTGTCCCCTGGACTGCATGTTATCTCTTATACTAAGCTAAGCGCACAAACAGTACATAGAGCAGGAACCAGACTTTAGGCCTTTCCACTCCCCAGGTCTGCCCTGGCACAGTTTGCCATCTCTTTCTCTGGCCCATGAATTCTGCATTTTCTGCTAGAAGGTGGCTGTGCTTCGAGATCAGGAAGAAGAAATCCTCCTGCCCAGGTAAGTACACAGGGGCAATCTCTTCACAGATGGAAGTTCTGCTACTTCCAGCCCTTCAGTGATTGTCCCAGTGGCTGCAGGGAAAGGAGGATATGACCCTCACAGTTGTGTGAGTGAGCAGCACATACACAGACAGTCACTAGAAGGGGAGCAGTTGTGCTGTGGGAAGGGGAGGAGTGGGAGGCAACTGTGGCATGATCACTGCCCTATGATGGACCCAGACTGTATGCGCTACAGCTCCCAGGGCTAACTTGGAGGAGTTCTGCTTCCTCCTCTGCTAAATTTGATTAAGTTGCATTTTGTGTCTCCGCAGTGGCATGTAAAATCTTCACAATTAAGAATGAGAACTGTGGAAGTAGATTCACGGCCCCTAAGTTTAATACTACGAAAAAGCTGTTCAAACAGACATATGAAGGACATAGAATTTTTAAAATAAAAAAATAGAAGAAGAAACAGAAAGATTATGAAGAAAGAAGGTGTGAGTGATGACTGGCTGGGTAGATGAGGGGAGAGCAGTGGATGTTGTCTACCTGGACTTCAGCAAGGCTTTGGACACTGTCTCCCATCACATCCTCCTAGGTAAGCTCAGGAAGTGGGGGCTAGACGAGTGGACGGTGAGGTGGATTGAGAACTGGCTGGATGGCCGAGCTCAGAGGGTTGTGGTGAATGGCGCAGAGTCTAGTTGGAGGCCTGTGGCTAGTGGTGTCCCCCAGGGGTCAGCACTGGGTCCAGTCTTGTTCAATATATTCATCAATGACCTGGAGGAAGGGACAGAGTGCACCCTCAGCAAGTCTGCTGATGATACTACACTGGGGGGAGAGGCTAACACACCAGAGGGCTGTGCTGCCATTCAGAGGGACCTGGACAGGCTGGAGAGCTGGGCAGAGAGGAACCTCCTGAAGCTCAACAAAGGCAAGTGCAAGGTCCTGCACCTAGGCAGGAATAATCCCCTGCACCAGTACAGGCTGGGGGTTGACCTGCTGGAAAGCAGCTCTGCAGAGAAGGACCTGGGAGTGCTGGTGGACAAGAAGTTAAGCATGAGCCAGCACTGTGCCCTGGTGGCCAAGAAGGCCAATGGTCTCCTGGGGTGCATTAGGCAGAGTGTTGCCAGCAGCTCGAGGGAGGTGATCCTGCCCCTCTCCTCAGCCCTGGTGCGGCCTCACCTGGAGTACTGGGTCCAGTTCTGGGCTCCCCAGTACAAGAGAGACATGGCACTCCTGGAGAGAGTCCAGCAGAGGGCTACCAAGATGATTAGAGGGCTGGGGCACCTCTCCTATGAAGAAAGACTGCAAGAGCTGGGCCTGTTCAGCCTGGAGAAGAGAAGATTGAGAGGCGATCTCATCAATGTGTACAAGTATCTGAAGGGGGAGTGTCAAGAGGATGAGGCCAGCCTCTTCTCCGTGGGGCCCAGTGACAGGACAAGAGGCAGCGGGCACAAACTGGAACACAGGAAGTTCCACCTAAACCTGAGAAAAAACTTCACTGTGAGGGTGACAGAGCATTGGAACAGGTTGCCCGGAGGGGTAGTGGAGTCTCCTTCCCTGGAGATATTCAAAACCCGTCTGGATGTGATCCTGGGCAATATGCTCTAGAGGTCCCTGCTTGAGCAGGGAGGTTGGACTAGATGATCTCCAGAGGTCCCTTCCAACCTAAACGATTCGGTGATTCTGTGATCAAGCACTGACACCAAAGCAATGCAAGCAATGACACCAAAACCAGAAGCAAAAGAAATGACACCAAATAGGACATTCATGCTTACATGAAAAGTACCAAAGATGGAAAATAAATAATCTGCACCGGGAAAAGAAAAGAAGTTTATAAAAAATGTTTCTTAGAGTATTAGTTATGAGACAGGTCTTGTGGCTCCCAACCCTTCTGACAGAATAAGCTAACAGGCTGACAGGTAGGAACTCAGTTCTACTGAATACACAGGCCTGTTCCTGCAAAACGTAAGTACAGACTTATCTTTGAGCAGATCAGTGTTTCTACTGACCTACAGGACTGCAAACATGACTGAAATTTAAAGGTAAGTATACACTACAGTGCTTTGCTGAATTAGAACCAAATTGCTCAGACTTTGGTAGCCTTCAGGCTCTCTACACAAGACTGTTTCTACATATCTTCAGGAACTATTGGTGAAAATTGTCATGGCCAACAGGATTACTGATATGGGCAGCTCCACAGATTCCAGACCCCTTGCATTTGGAAAATAGCATGGTCACTCGATTATTTCCTTTCTGGTACACATTAGCAGATATAGTTCTAGTAGCCCATACTAAACTAGGCTACAAGCTGGTCTCCTGGAGCTGTCCAATCACTAATAGTTGACATTGACGCCTGATACTCTAGCACTAGTCTCCTTATTTTGGTTTTAGTTCTTTTATCTCAGTCTAAGGTGAATTGTTGTCTGGAGGAGCCTATCTCACTCTACTGATTAATAAAGAAATTCTAGACAATTTTAGACTAGACAGTGAAATTTAGATAAAATGAATCCCACACTTGGATTTACATACTACGTTTTAGGCACCAAAATTTTAAATCCCTATTTAATAGTGGCAGAATAAAATGTTAATTGTTAGAAATAGCTAATGCATTAGCTAACTGACCTTGCCTCACAAAGCAAAACTAACTGTTTGCTAGTTTCTTTTCCGAGTCCAGGATTCTGATGCAGACCTTTTCATTCAGAGGAAAGATACACAAGATGCACCCAAAGACTCAAGTAATGTCACTCCTACTCCCTGCTGCTGCATGCAGGCAGCCACTTGGAAAACTAGGAGTACTATTGATTTCACCCCTGCTGATCCAGTGGTCCACTGTGAGCATTTATTTCAGTTAAGTAGCAATGCTTCTGTTCCATTCTCCCTGCGGCTGCCAGTAACTCCCCATTGCTCCATAAATAGTGCTTACAGCTTCCCCAGCATGCATCCATTTTTCTCTGTTTTCATCAGCGCTGCATTTGTTTTCTTGTTGCACCACAGAGAATTTCTCTGCTTTCTCCATGGGTCAGGAGTCAAGCCTGTATACTCAGAAAAGGATACTTATGCTCCCTTCCTATAGCCTCAGAAGAGAGATCCCAACTTCTTCCTGACTCATAGAATTGCTTCAGCAAATGCCCAGGTAATTAATCCGACAGCTTCACATTGGCTGTTCAGTCACTTCCTTCCCTTCTTCTGTCCTTCACATGCCTCCAGCTTTAACAGTCATATTCTGCTTTGTACCTGCTATGGAAACCAAGCCCTATCCATCTACCTCCATTTTCCACCAGTGGAAACCCCACTGCCTCAGTGAGCTACCATGTGCCTCCCAATCACAGCAGAAGTGCTTCTGCTATGTGGAATTCCTCTCATAATTTCTTTTTAACACTTCCACAGTAGCTTAAAATGAAACTGTTGCAACATAAAATCAAGTACCATCATATGCATTCTACCCTGGCGTACAAGATAAAATCCATCACAAACAGGGAAAAGTAACATTAGAATGTTGCCTTTGTCTTAACTAATGAAAAACATTAGTAAACTCAACACAAAGCACTTTCTTGCATAAATCAGCTAGCTTACCATAGCTTACAACTGGCTATCAGCTTGTCCTATGTGATTACCAATCAGTGCTCCATGTCTGATGGATCTTAGGTTTTTCAGTGGTGCATCTCTCAGACATTTGAAAGTTTTGTTGCTACATAAAAGTACAGGGAAGGTTTGAGAAAAAGGTTTAATTAAAAAAAAAAAAAAAACAATTTCGGGGTCATAAAAATGCCAAATCGATGGCAGAGAATGTGTAAATCTTTCTAATACAGCCCAACAAATTCATATCATACTTGACCTGATAGAATAGTTCATTCTTTATAGTCCGTTGATTCTTGGCTTTTTTGTTGAGCCTGCCAACAAAGGTAACAATAAGCGGGGGTGATTTTGTTGAAAGATAATCTATCCATTAGGAACTGGACAGATACCACCAACTGATTTTGCAGAGGCCTTTGAAGAGCTCTACAGTGGAAACGACTTTTCATTACTACCAACGTAGGTCACAGTCAAATCAAAGACTAAGGCCCAAAGTTCTGATTACATTCTACTCCTAATCCCCTGAATTTTTCACTAACTGTGCTAGGTTATACATAATCTAGAAACTTGTTTGGTAGAGTCACGCACAAAAACTGAGTTCAAACTTTAATACTACTATCAACTCTCTTTGTAACCTTGTGCAAATCACTTTCTACGGATCAATTTTTCCAACCTGAAAATAACATCTTCTCTGTTTATAAAATGCTTTATAGTTTAGATGAAATGCTCTAATAGCCAAATAATATTACTAATATTTATAGGAGTTTAGCAACATGGCTGTAAAGATAACTTTGCAATTGAAACCTAAGATTATTTTAAGTGGTTTAAGGCCCTGACTCAACAAAGCGCTTGAGTTTATCCTTCTCTATGTATGCTATGCCATGGCTGCTGTCACATGAAAAGATTGCATTAGTCAGCTTGGTTGTTGCACTTTTTGATGACAGGTCCTCTTGACAAAATCTGTTTTGGAAGGCGTTACCTCCTCTCTTCCTTTCCAACTTTCCCCCATACCTCAGGCTTCTGCCCGCAGACCCAAAGTTCTTTATAAATCACATTCTTCCCAAATCTTCACTGTTCCCTTCACTTTGCTCAGGATACTTACTCCTTAGCTTTTACTTGTAGTTGTCAGCACCCTGAGGACACAAATAGACCTCACTGCCACCTCCCCGGAGCCTCCCCTCACGCTGTCCAGATGCAGGACCCCACTTCAGCCCAGCCTGGGGCCATCAGGTGATGCCACAGCAGTGCCTGTCTCCAGCCCCACCTTGACCCTGCCCCTCCCTGGCCACTGCCCCCTCTGACCCTGACTGTGACCCATGGGTCTGGCCTGGCCTCAGCCTGTCCCCTCAGTGGTGTCTGATGCCCGGGGCTGGGGCTGCCTCTGGCTGCAGGTGCTGAGATGGGCCCTGGCTGCAAGGCCTGGTCCTGCCCCCATGGGGAGCCCTTGCCGATACCACCTCTCATCCCCTAGGGAGCAGCTGGCTATCACTGCTCTTTGACAGCAGTTCACATTAAATCCTAATAAGTGTTGTTTCCTATCTTATACCTTTCTAAATCACTTGTCCTTATCACATCCATCATAGCTGCCACTCAAATACCTTCTCATCACGTACTCCCATTTCACTCCTGTCTTTCCCAGTATGCCCTTGACCAATTTTATTCTTCATTTTCCTATCTCTTACTGCAACAGATCCCAGCACTCTAGCCTACCACCTAGGCCATCTGTGCTATCATTGCATTAAACACGATGTCTTCTGCAAATTAGTTCAAAAATGGAAGACTTTAGAACTTCAAATAATAAGGGGAGAAGAAGGATTTTAGTTATAATAGGATAGCCATACAGGTCAGACCAGTGGTCTGTCTAGTCCTATATCTTTTCTCTGACAGGGACCAGCAATCGATGTTGATTCTAAAAAAACAAGGAAAGCTTGGAGAGATCCTTCCTGGCCTACCTTCTCTATTTCAGTAAGATGTCATGTAAATTGTATTTTTAAATGTATTTGTAACCTCTCAGAAGGTAATGGCACTGAAGATGATGATGATGAGAGGGAATTCAGTGCTTTCATATAGCATCAGATTGACATTACAGGAATCACACATCTCAACACTTTCTACTCAGCCCATGGGACATAGAATACACACAGCTACAAGAAATAAAAAAATGAGCTAAAAACTGTACCTATTTTCACAGTAAATGATATTGAGGTCCATATTCACTCGAGTGACAAACATGTGGCAGTCAATCCTGACTTCATTGATCGTTGGAGGTGGCAAAGCATGAGCAACAACAACAAGTCCCATGATCTGGCTTGGTACTGTTCGTCCATGGGACAGTGACACTCTCAGACGCAACCGGCCTGTTATATGAATCACCTGGAAAATAAAAACAATAAAAGAAATCCCAGTGAATTCTGGATACAACTGTGACATCATTTTCTTTTAAAGAGTAGCAATATTATTCCCTGTAGTACTATTTTTGGCTGCATTAAGTGGTTTAAGTAACTGCCAGCATTAGTATTAAGCTTACTAATATTGACTGTCAGCATGTTCTATATGTCCTCATGGCAAAAAAGAAGAGAAGAACATAACAGAGAAATATCTTATATTTCTCAAATAAACAGTCAGAATGCCCGTGCTACTGATTTTTGTTGTGGTCATTGTTATAGAAAGAAACAAACTTAAAAAAAAAAAATCAACAAAAGAAGAGACAGAAGGGGAGAAAACTGAAATAATGAATGTAGAATGGGAGCACTAATTTGATAACATTGGGAGATTAAATATGAGATAAAAAGATCAGCAGTTTTGAGACTTTTCCAGAAAAGATTTAATTGAACTAGTCATCTACATCATACAGACACTACTGATAGCCTTGAATTACATCTTTGCGGTTGGCAATTCAAGAAGCAGGAGCTCACAAGCGATCAATGAGCTCAGTTGCAGAATGGTCTTCCTGCATACACAGCAAGCATTTTTAGAGCTGGTAGACAAGCAATGTCTTTGCTTAATGCACTAACAAACACATGTGAACAACTTCGGAGGCTGACAGTTTCTTT